GACCACCCCACCCCCACCCGCCAGCAGAGCCCACCTGCACACGGTAATCAGGTTCCTACGCTCCACGGCCACGTTGCGGGAAGACGCTTTCTTGGAGGACAGCCCCAGAGCCATGGTGGTCTGGACAAAGCTCGCTTCCATCCAGATGTGCAGCCACTGCTGCCGCTGCCAGCTGCCCCTTACCCCGCCCGGCGCCCCGGCCCCGCCGCCGGATCACGGCTGGGCCCTCTGCCCATCGGGGCCCCTCGGCCCCTCTACGGCCATCACCCCGCCACTGCGCCGGGTGCCCGGCCCCTTGGCTCCCTCCCCAGGCAGCGATTTCGGAGCAAAACAAGGCCGGGGAGGGAGCTCTCCGAGGTGCTGAGCCCGGGCCCGTCACCCCCTCCCCTAGCCGCCCGCCCCTCCGTCCAGTGACGTCACGGCCCTCGGGCCCCGCCCCCAGACAGGCCAGGGACCAATCCGCTGAGGGTGCAGGGTTTGGGGGAGGGGAGAGGACAAGGGCCTCAGGGAGGGCTGAGGGGGGTCCCTGGAGCAGGCAGCGATGGGAAGGAGTGCGAGGGGGCGTCTGGCCTGTCCATCCTCACACCCGGAGCCCGGGACCCCTGGCTTCACGTCTCTGAGCTCTGACATTTCTGCTCTCCTGTGTCTGACCTGTGATCAGTGGTGTCATAGCTCAGATTTCCCCCCAGCTGCCTGGGGGATGGAGGTCCTCACCTACTGTACCCTCACCCCCGCCCCTTTCAGTGTCAGCATTCCTAGCGAGGCCAGGCCGGGTCTGCGTCCAGAGGGCGCAGGGGCCCTACACTGAGGGCTCAGGAGGCCAAGAAGCAGTCAGACTACGTATCTGCCTGAGCTCAGGCTTGACTTGGCTGCGCCAACCGCTGGAGTCTACCGCTCCTAGGGTGGGGGATGGGAACCCAGGATCCGCCGTAGGAGCCGAGAGCCTGGAAGCTCTCAGGACTGAGTGGGGAGTAGACTAACAGCTAAGGACCTGGGGTCTGCGGAGGCTCCCAGCAATAGAGGAGCCCGCAGTAGTGTCAAGGCAACGGGAGGGGATGCAGCCAAGGCACTGCTTCCCCGTGGAGTCTTACCCCTCGCATCACCCTAGCGGCATCTGGCTAACGGTTAACCTCTTGGCTGCCAACATTGCAGCGTGGTGCAATCAACCCTCTCCACTGGTTGCATCTTTTACAGGAAGGTGGGGGAAATGGAAGCACTGTCTGGCTTCCCTGCTGCCCTTTACCTCTCACATCCCTACTCGCTCCTGCTTCATTCCTCAACTCAACCTATTCTTTCACCCACTGAAATCCCCAGCTTCCACAAAAAGCCTTTCTGTGTGGATTAATGGGTCTCCACCCAACTTCTCCATTTAGCCTCAGGAATGTTCATTTCAGGGCTCAGCTCATATCTATTCACCAACTCTGCCTAACTATGGGATTTATTCTACTCTGCTAATAGATGGTCAATATCTCCACATTGATTCAGATGTGCATCCACATCTAAATAAGACCAGAGACAGGGGTCCTTCATTAGTACAAACAGAGAAGGAAGAGATGAAAGACCTACAGAGAAGTTCCCAACCTTGGTCTAACTTGGGGCTGGGGAAAAGGTTTTGACTCCTGGCTCAGATCTCATGTTCACTCAGCCTCAGCCTCAATTCTTGGCTTCTGGGACCTCAAACTTGGTCTTTTCTGTCCCTCCTTTGCCTTTTCCCTCTTGCCTCATCTCTAGAAATCCTTCCTAGCATCCTCCTGCCTCCAGATTCATCGTCAGTGGCTGTAATGATGTTATTTTGTTTTTCAATTGCAAGCTATATCTTCTGCACAAAAGAGCACACAAAACACTAATGTGCAGTTTAAAGAATATTGACAAGGCAAATACTTGTGTCATCACCTCAAAGATCAAGAAATAGAACATTATCAACATCCAGGACCCCCCATATGCTTCTCCCAGATCTCATCTTCATCCATCTCCCAAGAAATAACCACTACCCTGGATTTTGTGTTGTTTCCTTGCTCTTCTTTATAGTTTTATCATCTGCATGACCATCAATAAAAATATAGTTTAATGTTGCCAGTGTTTAAACTTTGTAGAAATGAAGTCATACTGTATGGATTCAGTTGTGGTTTGCTTCTTTCAGTATTATTTTAGGGAGATTCATTTTCCTTGAAACTACATTATGCACTTCAAATAGAAGGGATTTAATATAGGGGATTGGTTGCACAGGATTTGGAAAACTAAAAGAGCAAAAAGAGAAAGAACACAGAAACAACCTGAACGAATAACTAAAGGAAGCAGTAAGGGTGAGGAAACAGGGAGAGGTGGGGTTACTACACCCTCGGGACCCTGCAGAGTTGGGATTCAAACGCAGGCAGAGCCGCAGGGACTGCTGCTCACTCCTCGGAGGAGCCGTCTACAAAGCTGATTCTTGGCATGCAGAAAGAAGCCAACTCCCCGTGACAGTGACTCTGAACAGAACAAGCAGAATGGGAAGGGAGTCGCTTCTCCCTTTGCCTTTCATCTCCCTCTAGTGCCCCGGATTAGCAGACCCCAGCAGGAAGCCAGTTAGTGAAGGAGTCCGGAAAACACGTGTAAAGAGTCCCAGCCCCACCCAATAAGAGAGACAGCAAGAGTGGATTTGGAGCAGAAAGGCAAGAAGTAAATAAGTGATACAACCATCGCCACTATCTATTTCCAAAACTTTTTCATCACCCTTCATCATACTGCTATAAGCATTTGTGTACAAGTGTCTGTTTAAAGCCATGTTTTCAATTCTTTTGAGTTGCCGTGTCATATGGTCATTCTGTGCTTAACATTTTAAGGAAAAAACTGTTTCTCTGGTGGTTGAACATTTTGCATCCCCATCAGTAATGTACATGTGTTCCAGCTTCTCCACAGCCTCTCCGACACTCCTTATTTCCCATTTTTATAGTAGCCGTCCTAGTGCGTGCTACTGGTTTTGATTTGCATTTCCCCAATGACTAATGGCGTCGAGCATTTTTTCATGTATTTGCTGGCCATTTGTATATCTCCTTTGGAGAAATATCCAAGTCCTTCGACCATTTTAAAAATTACATTGTTTGTCTTTGTGCAATTAAATTTTTGTTGTTGTTAATCTTCACCCAAGGATATTTTTTCTATTGATCCTTTAGAGATGGGAGAGAGAGAGAGAGAGAAAAACATCGATGTGAGAGAGACACATCGACTGGTTGCCTCCCGAATGAACCCTACTGGGGGCGAGGATTGCAATGCAGTTACAAGCCCTTGAGCAGGAATTGAACCCATGACTCTCTGGTGTGTTTAAGAATTTCATCTCAATGGAATCATATAGGCTGTGTTATTTTGTGTCTGTCTTCTTTCACTCAGCATAACATCTTGGAAATGTATTCCTGGTGTTATATAAGTATTGTTAATTCATTACTTATTGTTGCTGTGTAATATTCCATTGTATGGATGTACCACATTTTATTTGTCCAGTCACTTGTTGATAGACATTATGGTATGGTTTTTTTCATTCTTGTTACTATTATAGCTATAGCTGCTATAAATGTTATTGTATAAATTTTTATGTAATCAAGTATTTTCATTTCTTGTGAGTAAATACTCAGAAGTGGAATTGCTGTTAATATCTACAAGTGGAATATGAGAAGAATGCATTTAACTTTATGAGACACTTCCAAACTTCCAAAGTGGTTGTACCATTTTACATCCCCACCATCAAAGTATGAGAGGTCCAGTTGCTTCACATACTTGACAACATTCAGTATTTTTATTCTTTTTAATTTTAGCCATCCAGTGGGTAAGTGGTGGTACCTCCGTATGGTTCTTCTTTCTTGAGGTATAATTTGACATACAGCAATTTTTAAATTTTAAGCATACCATTCAATAATTTAATAGATATATACACTCATGTATCCCACACATGAAGTAAGACATCCCCCACCCCCAGGAAGTTCTCCTATGCCTCTTCCCAAGCAATTCCCGCCACCACAGAAGCACCCACTGATCTGATTTCTAGAACCATAGATTCATTTTTCTATTCAAAAACTATATATAAATGGAATCATACAATACTCTTTGGCTCTGTTTTTTTTCATTCAGCATAATATTTTTGATATTCATTGATGTGATAACATGTATAAGTAATTTGTTTATTTTTATTGATGAGAAGAATATCACCATTTGTCCTCACTCTCCTGTTGATAGACATTTGGGGCTATTATAAAGAAAATTTCCACCCTGGCCAGTGTGGCTCAGTTGGTTGGGCGTCGTCCTGTGCACTGAAAGGCTGAGGGTTCTATTCCCAGTCAGGGCACATGCCCAGGTCTCAGGCTTGATCCCCAGTAGGGGGTGTGCAGGAGGCAGCCCATTTATGTTGTGCTCTCACATCTGTCTCCCCCCCTTCCCCTCTCTCTAAAAATCAATATAAAAAAAGAAAAGAAAATATCCATGAACATTCTCATTCAATGTTTTTGTGGACATATATTTTATTTCCTTTGGATAAATGTCTAAGAGCGAATGAATGAATCATAGGATAAGTATATGATTAACTTTTTAAGAAACTGCCAAACTGTTTTCCAAAGTGCTTGTACCATTTGTACAGTGTACAAATGTGTCAGATTTTCAGTGCCCCATCTCCTTTCCAACACTTAGTGTCAATCTTTTTGCATTTAGCCATTTAATGGGTATGTGATGATATCTCGCTGTGGACTTGCACTTCTCTGATGACTAATAATGTTGAGCTTTTTCATGAGCTTATTAGTTATTTGTATATTTTCTTTTGTGATGTGTGTGTTCAAATCTTTTGGCAATTTTTTTTATTGAGTTGTTTGTCTTTTTCATCATTGAGTTGCAGGAGTTCTTTATATATTCTAGATACAAGTCTTTTATTAATATAACAAAATAAAATATTTTGGGGTTGTGTGGGTTGCAAACTTTTCCTCCCAAACTGTGACTTGCTGTAAGGATCAAGTTACTGGATTTTGTTATTTTCCAAAATGATGGACTTCGTTCTAACAGGCAATTAGTCAACTTATTCATAATAAACCAAATTCACTTGAGGCTTATTTTTTTTAGGTGTCAGGGAAGGTCTAAATTTGCCTTTAAGGCTGAAATAGGCCTACTACTAACATGTTACTTTC